GCATATAAAAAATTAGAAATCGAGAAGTATAAGCAGTCAATTGCTGATACACCCTGACGAGTGGACGGAGTGATTCCCAAAGGGTTCACCTATAAAACTCTGGAGTCGTGTTGCTGAAGGTAACATCAATCAGCTAAGTGAAGCGACAAACCTTTTATTTGCAATAATTATATATATATATATATATATATATATATATATATATATATATATTCATATAATTATTCACATTCAAAAACAAAAAGCAAGGTTAATGATTTAATTGGCGAAATCCATCATCGCAAATAATTCAAATAATATACAAAACCTCCAGTAGAATCCGTTATGAATGAATTGATCCTTGTTTCCATAAATTTCTGCCGTATTAGTTCTTATTTTTTTAATACAAGCTTTCGTCTGTTCCTACAGACATCTTCAAAACATAGAATAGATGTTGTTCTTGTTTTTTCTCTTAGTAATAAGAGGACAACGAAAATATATGTATTATTGTATCCGAAAATGCTATTGAAAACGAGTTATTGTTTTTTTTTGGAAAACGCATCAATTCATCGCTGAGTTTGATTTTAAATTTTAAAGGTTGTTGCGATGATGGATGGCGCGCCAAAAAATTAACCTTTTCTGATTTTGTTTTTTTTACAAAACACATATCCATAATAATTCATGAATTTGTAAATTGATTGCACGTTTATCAATATATATATATATATATATATATATATATATATATATATATATATATATATACATGTTACATGAATCATTCATACAAAAACAGATATAGAAGTTAATGATTTAAATGGCGAGAATACATCTTCGCAAACAAATTTAATAAAATACATTAACCTCGAACCTGTAGATGAATTAACAATAACACATTTCTAAAAACATTTTTTGGATTACATCTATATTTTCGTTGTCCTGTTATTACCGAGAAGTAAAAAACAAAAACAAATCTATTTCCATACCTGATGATGACTGTATGAACAGATGAAAGCTTGTAAAAAATCTAAAAAAAAGACCTTATGCAACTGGAATTTATAAACAGCGATCATAACATTCATCTACAGGTTCGGGGTTAATGTACTTTATTAAGTTTGTTTGTGAAGATGTATTCTCGCCATTTAAATCATTAACTTCTATATCTGTTTTTTGTATGAATAATTCATGTAATGTAAATTGAACTGCACCACATACTTGATATATATATATATATATATATATATATATATTGGGGCAGAAGCCTTTCTTTCAAACATGTTTCGTTGAATGTGACAGACATGGTAGATTTGATAAATTTCTGGTTGATTTTTTTTTTTTAGTATTCTTAAATTTTTCCTTTTGATGGTAGTAAGGGAGTGTAAAAATTGTCCGTACTGTCTATTGTCCCAAGCGCTTTCGGACGCTTTGTTAGACATTTTCAAGGGGTTTGTTGTTCATTGTTGTTAATTTATTTTCACGGTTGTCTTTTAAGGTATATTGTTTGATGCATGTTGTATGATAGTAACGTTTATTCCGGGCCCCAAAAAATGAGCATGGTAATATATATATATATATATATATATATATATATATATATATGTGTGTGTGTGTATATATATATATATATATATATATATATATATATATATAGATAGATAGATAGATAGATAGATAATGTATACTCGTTTCGAAAAACCCTCGAATTTTTGATTTGCCAATAATCAAATCAATCTGGAGGGAAAAAATGGTTTAAAAAAAAGAAAGAGCTAGAAATATGAAAGTCTGTAGAAAAAAAATCGCACAGATGCAGGTTTGAAGCCCAAAGAAAAAACCCCGACACGAGTAAACAATTAACGAACAAAAGAGCTCAATACAACCGTAGAGCAGACCTAGATAAACCTCCCCGACGATCCGCTTAGGTGAAACCTGGGTAGGTTTGTCTGGCTCACTAGGTTTTTCTATCTATCTATCTATCTCTCTCTCTCTCTCTCTCTCTCTCTATATATATATATATATATATATATATATATATATATATATATATATATATATATATTAGGAATCAGTTGAATCCGTTTCCTTGGTTTTCAACCTTACATTATCCTCAGGTATTTTTAGCAGTTGACCTTCCAATGCTTTATTTTTTTTTTAAATTAATGTGCGCTTTACTATTTTAAAAAAATAAATTAACAAACGCAGAACATTGGGTGTTATAGAAAGGGAGGATGGGGATGCGAAGAAAGAAGCAGAAGGAGGAGGAGGAGAAATACAAGGGTATTATAAATGTATTGGTGTAGGGCTTAATTGAAACGTATTTACTTTTTTTATCCAGCCTCATGTGAGCTTAAGAGGAATTTTACGTATGCAACGGCTCATGATTTTGGATCAGTGGTTCAAAAGGTTCTTTGAATCCGGAAATGTCATTATTTCTAATTTTTCCTGTTAGCAGAGGTTGCAAATGTTACTTCGGTTGTTGTCTGTTTCCTGCTAAACGCAATCGTGAGGCACATGGATTAAAAATTGCGTTTAGCATGAAACAGACTGTCATCTTTGGGTGTTGACATTGATGTCCATTAATACACACACACACACATATATATATATATATATATATATATATATATATATATATATATATATATGTGTGTGTGTGTGTGTGTGTGTGTGTGCCCTTGCACGCGCGTGTGTGTGTTAGAGGAGGTAAGGAGAACAAGAGAATTTCCTAATCTCGTCATTCGGATTGATTACAAGAAAGATAACTAGACTGTAAAAAGGTATATATATATATATATATATATATATATATATATATATATATATATACACATACCATCATAAGTACATCCTATTACTTACATTCCCTCCTGTTCCATCTCATCTCTGTCGCACACATATACACACACATATATATATATATATATATATATATATATATATATATATATATATATATATATCAATTGAAGGTTAGGAAGAAATGGAACCCCTATCCTTATAAAACCGGATGTATCGTTTTGGTCCCAACCATTGCTAATTTTCTTTACCGAACCCTTACTTTACCGAGAAGGTGGGCCGCAGGAAACCCAGACGTATGGAGGTTAAGAATCGGGGGCGCGACGTCGTCTCTCATCCATCGCTTGGTCCACCATGTACCCTGTGAGTCTTTTCATGGCGCCCCACCCCGGCAGTTGAACAAAGACAGATGGCGCTCTCCCTTTTGTGTGTTACTCACTTGTAGAAGTGCAAGACTGTAGGTCACGGTGATCTTTATGATGGGCAACTTCCGGTACAGAACCTTCGAGCACATACCACTTGGAAAGATAGGCGGACGGGGGCGGAAAATGCAAGAAAGGAAAGATAGAAAGTAAATATGAATGTGAGAATAGAAAGGGGAAAGGAAAACGGGAGGCAGAAGAATAAAATGGAGGAACATGGGAAAAGAAACAAAGAAGAAAGGGTCATTAACTGAGAGGAACGATAAAAAAAAAGAAAGAGAAGATAGTAAAGGAAATACAGAAATAAAAGTGAATAAAGAAGATAGAAGCAGAGTAGAAGAAGAAGAAGAAGAACTTAAAATTAACGAAAAACAAAGAAGAATTGACAAATTAGTGAAAAGAAGGAACAAGATGAAAGAAGTTAAAAGTTAACGAAAGAAAGAGGAAAACAGGAAGAAAAAAAAGAAGAGAACTTAACAATTAATAAAAAGAAGCAGAAACAAGAACAAGAACATTAAAATTAGCAAAATGAAGAAACAGAAGAGAAAAAACTTAATAATAATAATAATAATAATAATAATAATGAAGAAGAAGAAGAAGAAAGAAAGATCAATGGGAAGAAGAAGAGGAAGAACTTGAAAATGAATGAATATCAGAAGAAAAACAGGAAGAAAAAGGGACTTAAAAATTACCGAAAACAAAAAGAATCAAAGAGAAAAAAGGGAGAAGGAAAGAAACAAAGAATGGATGGAAGAAAGAAAGAAAGAAAGAAAGAAAGAAAGAAAGAAAAAGAGTGAGTGAAAAGTTAGAAAAGAAAAGAATAATTTTGGTCGGTAAAAAATTACAACAACGAGAGGAAGCAAGAAGAAATACCGCAGAAGATAAGGAAACAAGTAGAGAAAAGAAACAGAAAAAAAGAAGTGAAAGAAAGGAAAGAGGAAGCCAAAGCTAGTTTAAGAGAAGAAAATTGAGAAGAAAGGGATGTAAAAAACAAAACAAAACAAAAAAAAAAAACACGAAATAAATGTATTTAAAAAAAGAAAGAAAGAAAGAAAGAAAGGGATACTGTAAGAAGAAAGGAAAAAAAAAACAGAGATAAAAGGCATGGAACAGTATTAATAAAAAGGCAGGAAATGTGGTATCACGCGTGTTAACAGTTAACGTCACGGAAAACGGAATAGGCTAATCGAGATCGAATTACGACTGATGATGTTTACGCTCATTTCTAGCTAATGTCGTTGGAAAAGGCATGAATTCCCTTCTCCCTTCTTACACTGGCATATATATTGTAATTATTTGCGCACCTCAGCTTAGCATGTTATCTATGTTAGCGAGATACATATTTAGTTCAATCTTCACTGAAATTTTATTAAATACTGGTAAGAATGTAAGGAAAAAAGATAATTAAGTTAAATAATAGAATAAGCACTGGTACAAAAATTAAAATTAAAAAAAAAAAAAAAAAATGGACAACTAGAAAAATAAATAGAAAATTTAAAAAAAAAAAAGAAAGAAAAACAGAAAAATTAAATAGGCAAAAGGAAACAATAAACTTCGAAAAGACTAAAAACACAAATTAAGGAGTAAAAAAAGAAAAGAAGGAAAAAAGAAAAAAATTAAAAAAGAAGAAAAGTAAACATAAAAACAGAGAAAAAGAAAAAATATAAACAATAAAAATAAACTAAAAACAAAAAATACAGAAAAATAGAAAAAGAACATGAGAAACATTTAAAAATAAAAATAGAAAGAAAATATCAAAAAAGTAAATATACAAAATTTAAATGCAAAATAAAAATAAAAATATTGAAAAAATTTAAACTATAGAAAAATAAGAGAAAACTTTAAAAAGACTAAAATGAAAAATAAAAGAAAATTAGAAAAATGTAAAAATAAATAAAATATTGAATTAGTAATAAAAGACAAAATGATAAATAGAAAACATAAAAAGATTTATAAAAATAAAGTGAAAATTAGAAATACATAAAAAAATAAGAGTAAAAAGAAAACATGAAGAATAGAAAACCAGAAAATAGTGAAAATAGAAAATACAAATACAGATAAAAATAAAAAAAAGTGGAAACTGAAAGAATAATGAAATATAAATAGAAAAATAAAAAGAAGTAATAATTAAATATAAAAAATAAAAAATGAATATTGATAAAAATAAAACAGAAAAAAATTAAAAATAGACAAAAAATAAACATAAGAATAAAACAATTAAAATAAAAATAAGAAAAAAGAAAACAAAATTACAAAAACAGAAAAAAATGAAAACAGAAAATTAGAAAAAAATAAAAAGTAGAAAAATAGAAAATCTAGAAAGTAAAAAATAGAAAAAAAATAAAGAAACAAAGCTTTGATCTCACGAGGCAGTTTGGTTAATGCTTCGGTTTTGTACCAGCTTGCGTTGTTGAGAAAAATTACCTCTAGCGCAGCCTATTCTATTCCTTGCATTACTGACAACGTTTAATACTGTGTCAACTTCTTCCAGTGACAATGCTCACAGATTATTATGAATGACAGATCTTCTGAAAACCAACCGTCGGCTTCTGTCCCTGAGGGACACAAATGTTTCTTCTGTGGGAGTAATAAGAATTGCCGAAGTGGCCAGTGATACAATATAGATTATTTTTTAGTACAAGTGACTTGAAATATGACTATTATCAAATCAATGAAATCTGACCTGAAGCTACCTTTAAGGTCTATAGTCAACTATACCAAATTCCTTGGATTCCATTTGCAGTAACCAATGAAGTTGTTTTCTCTTAGTGCATTATAAACAAATCGTCGATAAATCACTTTCTGACAGGTTTTCTTACCTGGAAAACTAAGGAAAAACATAGCATTAACCCCCAAAGAATTTACGGTGGGCGTGGTGGATGCTGCCAATGGGTTTAAATTAACCTAGAAACAAAAGTGCACATTCTCTGTGTCTTCTATGAACTTCCTCTGTTATACTATTTCTGAGAGTAAAATTAAACCCGATTCTGAAAGATTTAAGCTAGAATAGCTTTCTCAGAACATGAATTCAATATATATATATATATATATATATATATATATATATATATATATATATATACGATTTTGCGGTGTTGTATATTTTTAAGGCCTTATATTCCACTTTAAAACGAAAATGTGGTATTTGGTTGGCATTGTGAGTATTATGTTCACGAGGAAAGTTAACAACTGAATTTTTATTTTCTCTCATTTATCAGCAGTGATAACTGGTGGCAATGAAAGAAATGAATAAAAAAGGAAACTGTTGTTACTATCTCTCTCTGTTTCTCTCTCTTTATATATATATATATTCGACTCTCCCGTTGTATACGACGTATGAGGGTCAAGCAGCTCAGTTCCTAGAAACCGACAGCTAGACACCACCACACGTTGATTTGATTATAGTGGTGAAGGTTTTATGCAGAACCATCCACACTTTTTGAAGGGCCGAATACTGAGACCTGGTGCACTACGTGCCACAGGGTCCCCAAACGACCCTCCGAAGGTTTTGAATCCAGAGTTCTTCTTCTCCTAGACCAGTTGCCAACCAAGGTTATAGAACCCAGTCTGTCTTGATATTTACCCATAGCTGGAAGGAGAAGAAGAGGATTCATATCTTTCCTAAAGTTATTGGCACGTAAGTGAATATAATGGATTCGACTGGAATTCGAAATCGGCTCTCCGATTCCTCAATCCGAGCCACTAACCACTGTGCCTCTCTCAATATATATATATATATATATATATATATATATATATATATATTAACTAATTTAAAATATGGTTCCTTCGCTACACAGGAACTACCATGTTTCAAAAACCGAAGCTAAAAACTTCAGATTTAATTATATAATTAAATTAAAAGCATTAGTTCTGTTTCATCTTCAAGCGAATTATGGATTTGTCTTTAGTTTCACCCGAAATTAAAGCAACAATACAAGTTTAGAATGGCTCATGATCAAACATAATAGGCATTCGTTGTTTGATTAAAATTAACAATATATGTTTGAATAATGATCTGATGTCGCAATACAATATATATATATATATATATATATATATATATATATATATATATATATATACAGGACGAGTGGTTAGAACGTTAACGTTCTAACTATGAGACCTGGGTTCGAATCTCACTCTGGTCGATTTGTCAGGAAGGAGACTTCCTGATGTTATCGAACAGGAAAGTGCATGAAAACGATACCACAGTTTGACCCAAGCCTTGTGAGTGGAATTGAGTAGAAGGGACCCTTGAGGGCCGTCGATAGCTGAGCTAGCACGCAATCACAAGTCATCGTGGTTGAGGGCTTGAGCGTGCTGGCCTTGTTCAAATTGTTGATCACGCTAGAGAACACGCTCTTTCCCAGAAACTGTAACTAAGGTCTGCTCAGCATAGTTGCAGTATAAACGAAAAGGTGGGCTCTGTGGGTATTGAATAAACACAAATGCGACTGAGCAAGCGTCAGCAATAGGGATTGGCTAGCCGCCTTAGTAAATAGGTATCCTCGAATACGAGTGACCAGCTATATATATATATATATACATATATATATATATATATATATATATAGAGAGAGAGAGAGAGAGAGAGGGAAAGAGAGCGACAAATATGCTAGAAAATATTTTGCTGGAAGAGCTGCCTATTCTGTGTTCAGTCTTGTTATTTTGGATACTAAATTACGGTCCGAATCATTCAAAAGTAGAAGAAAAGAATGACTACAGGGAAGATCGAGGACTTTTCCTTCTTCGAATCTTGTAGACTGGCACTACTGAATCGCAAACAAATAATTGTATTAAATAACAGAAACAATATCACTTTAGGACTTGAAACAGCAGCAACAACTAAAATGGATAACCCACGTAACTCGAAGAGAGAATAAATCAAGATCCTGACGTTCCATGTTACTTTAAAAAAAAAAAAAGTTAGGAAAAAAAGCTCCCCGCCCCATATCAGCAATTAAAAGTGTATCAACTGTTGCATGTAGATCCCAACAAGGACTATATTTCCTCGAACCTCGTCGAGTGGTGCTACAGAATCAAAAATAAAGAACTGGTCCAAATAACTGAAACAACATCACTTGAAAGACAGCAGCAACAACTAAATGAGATAGCATAGGTAACTTGAAAAGAACATAAGGACATAATCAAGATGTTGACATTCCACACGACTTGAAGTTAACGGTTAGAAAGGAAACGCCCATCACTACTGAAAAGAGCTATAACAGCTACTGTACTTGAGAAGCTCATTTTCCAGGTAAACTGAAAATAATGACACAATCAAAATGCCGACGTCACGTTTGCTGTCATATATTGTTAAATATATGTTTGAATAATAATCTGCTGCTCCAATACACTATATATATATATATATATATATATATATATATATATATATATATATATATATATATATATATATAAAAATATGGATATAGATCCGACAGTATGAAAAAAAATATACTGAAAAAACAAACAAAAATCCCAATATGCGATTATGCTGTTTAACGTCCGACGTTGACATTAAACATTAAAACAGCATAATCGCATATTAGGATTTTTGTTTGTTTTTTTCAGTATATTTACCTTCATATATATATATATATATATATATATATTTGGAGAGAGAGAGAGGGGGAGAGGGAGGGAGAGAGACAGAGACATCGCAACAAATATGCTGGAAAATATTTTGCTGGAAGAGCAGCCTATTCTGTATTTTCAGTGTCCATTTCTACTACCCCAAACAAAACGTTAAGAAGGGCCCTTCACCCTTTATTGCTAGAGAGAGAAACCCATTTTCATGAAAAATTGTTTTAATAGAAAGATTTTATAAATTCTAACCGACAGTGACTACTCCGGTCAAGGAACACTAAATGTTTCCATATAAGGGGTCGGCTGATATTGCCATTGCCATGGTAAGTATAGAAGAAAAGTTGTAAAAAATGTTATTTTGACATGTTTCGCTGATCAAACAGCTTCAGTAGAAAATAGATTTTATTTCAAACAAATCTACAGTGTCGAGACGACGCGATTCACGTTAGTTAGATAATTAGATGGAAGCTGGAATTGTTTTCAACTTTTACTGCATGGTTTTCAAATTATCTATCTATCTATCTATCTATTGTATGTTAATATATACGGTACATACGCATATACAGCCATTTAATGTGCGTTTATTGCGTTTTTATGTTCAGGTTTGTGGCGCCACTTCATCTTACTTCTATCTGCGTGTCACTGTTCCAGCTTTTCCATATAAATGTACTGTTATTGACTACAGAATGGGCTACGATATTGAAAAAAAAAGAAAAGAAAAAAGAAAGAAAACAGCTACAAGAACAAAAAAACCAAAACAAAAATAAACTTGAACTGTTGTTAGAATTCTGGGTCGGCATTTCAGTTTTTCCTCTGGAATTAATGATGAAAGTTTTTTTTTTCTTCCTTATTTTTCTTTTTGTTTTTTTTTTTTTTTCTTTTCTTTCTTGGAACGATGGATGGTTCGTTGGTTCGAAGGTGTTATGATCCTCGTCAACCAATAATTGCCTCCTACGTCACAGTAATTAAGGGCTGGCGTTACAGAAGCCGTCGACTGTTAGTCATAAACAGATGGTGGTCACCAGTTAATTTCTTCGCTTTGTACTAATGGCAACACTATCAACATTCACCTCGTTATTTATAAACTGTTACTCTTCGTTAACATTGACTTACAGTCTACATTACTTACGCCTGGGTTTATCTATGCGTATGTGTGTTACTTCATGTACGTATTGGATTTTGTATACATAGATACATACATACATACATAC